GCCCTCTGGTCCTTGACTGTCCCATGAGGGGTAACATTCTCTCTGTATTTATCCTGTTGTTGAGAATCCTATATGTTTCAATGAGATCACCTCTCATTCTTTTAAACTGCAGTGAATAGGGTCCCAACCTGTTTAGCCTTTGCTGATAAGATGGATCAAGGATCATCCTTGTGAACCTTCTCCGAACTGCCTCCAATGAAATGATATCTTTCCTTAAATAAGGGGACGAAAACTATTCACAGATGTGGTTTCACCAGCACCTTGTACAGTTGCAGTAAGACTTCCGTACTCTTCTACTGCAACCCCCTGGAAGTAGGGGCCAACATTCCATTAGCTTTCCTAATTGCCTGCTAGGTTTCTGTGTTTCTTGTACAAGTTCCTTCAAGCCCCTTTGTACTACAGCTTTCTGCAGTTGTTCGCGATTTACATCATAATCAGTTTTTTTGCTCTCCCTTCCAAAATGAACAACTTCATAATTTCCCACCTTCAATTCATTTGCCGTCCTTTTGTTCACTTATTTAACCTATCAATATCTCTCTTTAAACTGTCTGTATCCCTCTAGCAATCTGCCTTTCCAGTTTTTTTTTGGTGTCGTGATTGCTCATGGTCAAACTTTTGACTCCGCTTACATGATTTCCAGTTGAAAATTGCTCATTACTTTTCAAGAAAATAAATTTTAGCAATTGACGTGCTTGGAGCCCTCTGTGATTTCATTTCAGGGCCATTGACTTCAGTAGATAACTGCCATATGTCAAGCAATAGCTGAACACTTTATAATGTCGATCATTGTAAGTAAGTGTTAAGCACAGTGATTTGTCAATTTTTTTCTGGTTGTGATCATCTCTCAAGTAATTACACCGTTACTATGATACAATTTTCAGGAAAATCTAGGCCATTGTTTGTGGCAGACTTGTATTTAGTTGCTCTGATGGTACATTTACTGTGATTTTTACCTGGCATTAATTTACCAAAATGTTTTGTTATCATATGAAGACCAGCTGATCTTCATTAAGCCAATTTTCTTCTAAGTGCATAAGTAGGATCAACACAGCTGATCTATGTTTTCCAGCTACCATTTTATCCCTTGAACAAAGTGTGGATTAAGGTTGAGGGAATGATTTTTTAGAAGTGTGGTTGCTGTTGTAATGTTGTGAACACAGCTAATTTGAACATAGCAAACTCCCAAAATCATCAAAGTGGTAACGGCTAGAGAATCTGTATTTGTAATGTTGAGTGAAAAACAAAATTGGCCAGGACACCAGGGATAACTCTACTGCTCCTCTTCAAAATAGTGCCATGGGATGCCCGCAAAAAGACAGACAGGACTTTGGTTTAAAATTTTATCTGAAAGGCGGCACTTCTGCAGTACAGCACTACTTCAACAATGCACTGGAGTGTCAACCCACAATCAGTACAAATTTACCTCCAGCAAATAAGACCTTGAATGCAGACCTGCTTCGGAGGGCTAACAGATCTAAGTGTGAAGTTAATAACTGCATATAATTGGCATCGTTATGTTATTTGGAAAGCACATCACCAAAACATTTTAAAAGGCAAGTGGAAAACAGATGTTTCTTTTAATTTGGGGTGAAGGTCAGTCGAATCAAAGTACATGCATTAGTTTTGTCTAAAAATCAAAAGAACTGCAGATGCTGGAAATAAGGAACAAACGCCAAAGTTGCTGGAAAGGCTCAGCAGGTCTGGCGGCATCTGTGGAGTGAAAGCAAAGTTAACGTTTCGGGTCCAGTGAAATTTCTGAGGTAGGGTCACTGGACCCAAAATAATAACTCTGATTTCTCTCTGCTAATTTTGTCTATTCTTTATTTTTCTTTGAAAGATTTGTTTTCCCTTGAGAAATGTGATTCCCCTCCACTCTAATTTTTTTGACTACATCCTGGAAAACAGAACTACATCACAAGGCTAAGCTCAATTGTAGGATCTGAATCATACCTTGCATAAATTGATAAGAGTTCACATTTAAATGTTTTCATATTATCTCTGTGGTAGAATTTAATTTATGGTCCTGGCAGTGGGCTTGTCCGATGGCTACAGAAAGGATGATAACCCCACAACGGCTGTTCCAGGCTATGCCAAGAAGTTTGAAATGCAATCAGGCACTTACTTGGTCAGCATTGGGGTCCTCTGAGAGTGTCTAGCCACTCAAGAGGCCAACAACTCTCTGGTACCTGCAGCTCCACCTGCAAAACTCCAACAGTTTTAAATAACCACTATTTTAACTATCTTTGTTGTGAGGAGAACAATCCCAGCTTCTTTGGTCTCTCCACATAACCGAAGCCCTTCATGCGAATACATCTCTGCATTGACTTCAAATATTGGTACCCTTCCTGAAAAACAATGCCCAGAATGAAACACTGATGAAATGAGAATTCATTAAATGTTATCAGACCAAATAAATGTAACTTTACAGATCTGTTGTATTAAACAGAGAAAATCAAGATTGTGCATGCCATTCTGAGGCCAAAATGATTACTTGACAATATATAGGATTTACATTCAAAACAAAAACAAATCAATGTCATGAAAACCATATTAAAGTTAAATAAATATTTGTTTGCTTCATTTACTGTCAAAGTAAAAGTAATACCGTTTTGATTTATAAATCTCATTCTGAAGGGGAATGAATACAAAAGTTGGTAAGTGATGCTACAACTCTGCAGTGCATTTGTGGACCTGGAGTACTGCATACAGTTTTGGTTTCCTTACTTAAGGAGAGAAGTACGCATATTGGAAACAGCTCGGAAAATATCTATCAGGTTGCTTCCTGGAATGAAGGGTTTTCTGTTACAACAAAAGTTTAACAGGTTAGGATTCTATTCATCGGAGATTAAAAGAGTGAGAGGTAATTTTATTAAAACATTGAAGATTCTGAAGGGCTTAAGAGGGTAAATGCTAGAGGATGTTTCTTTCAGTGGGGATTCCTAGAACTAGCAGACACCATTTAACAATATGAGGTATCTCAAGATGGAGAAGAAGGTTTTCTTTTGTTAGAAGATCTTAGTCCTTGATTTCTGGGGAAGAGAATTTCAATAGAGCCTGAATTTGATCATCGAATATATTCATGGCTGAGTCAGATTTTTGATCACAAGTTCTGAGGGACAGGCAGGAAAATAAAGTTAGGATCACAATCTATATTGGAATAGCATGGCATAGGTGTAGAGTGTTATTTGTAGCTATTGAAGACATAACAAGTATTTACAACAGAGGGTATGTATCTATCACTGTTTACTAACAGGGTTGTTGCAGAATATGTCTTGGTGGATCAATGATGGGATATCAAAGGGATGGATTGGTATGCAACAGTTTTATATGCCTTTCATGAAGGGTATAGTGTAGGGAGGATATAGAAGTTAATTGTAATTTCAGCACACTTTAAACTCTCAGATCAGCAGAATGATTTATTTTAATATTAGGGTAAAATTTAAATCCAATTTTCATGTTATTTCATGGTCTTGTTAATTCTGTTTTAATTTCCACATTTATTCACCCTGAACCAAATTTCAAAACACACACATATTGTATGCATTTGGAATAAACATCAACAAAATAAATTTGGAACAGTACAGTTTTGGAGGTCGTAATAGTGTTTCCATGGAGGAAAACCACAGCGCAGTTGCTGAGAGATCAGTGCTTAATTGTGATCAAAGCTTATAATTAATTTATTTATAAAGTGGAAGAAAAATAATGTTCAGTTCTGTGACGATCTGGTTTGGCTTTTTTTTAGAAAGGGGCGGCAATGGCCTAGTGGTATTATTGCTGGACTGTTAATCCAGAAACCCGGACAACATTCTGGGGACCCTAGGTCGAATCCTGCCATGGCAGATGGTGAAATTTGAATTCAGTAAATATCTGGAATTAAGAATCTAATGATGACCATAAATCCATTGTCGATTGTCGGAAAAAACCCATCTGGTTCACTAATGCCCTTTAGGGAAGGAAACTGCCATCCTTACCTGGTCTGGATTGCATGTTACTCCAGACCAACAGCAATGTGGATGTCTCTTAACTGCCCTCTGGGCAATTAGGGACAGGCAATAAATGCTGCCTAACCAGCAACATCCTCATCCTGTGAATGAATAAAGAAAAAAGTCAGTCATTTTGAACTGTGAGTTTTAGACCTCAATGACACTCATGTGATTTTAGCTAAATGACTAGGAACCTCTGTCAGAGACATTTGTTAGCATTTTTCTTGACTTGAATGTTGCAACTGAAAGATAGAGGCACCCAGATTCAGAACAATTCAAAGAGAAAAGGTCTATTACAGCTCAGGTGCTGCTAGTTTAGTAGTCTCCAAAAACAGAGCAGTGTGTAAAAGTACTGAGTTGCTTAGAAGAAAACCACAGAAGCATAAGGCTGTAGAGTTGTCCAAGAGGAAGACATTTTGCAAAACTGTTGAAGTCTTGAGTTTAAGGAACCCAATTTAGGTAGTAAGTGAGCTGAGTTGGCAGTTTGTTTAAAAGTTTCAGAAATAGACATTAACTGAAGAAAATAATATAAGGCGAGTACAAAAAGAAACTTATTACAGTTGTATCAACTGAAAAAGAAGCTTTAGTGTGGAGAGACGAATGATGTTTGAGTGAAAAACTGTTGCTAGAGTAAAAGTATTGAATCTGTTTTTCTGATGTTTGTAATGAGTTCATTTCAGAGAGTGCTTATCTAGTAATATAAATTATGTTTTCTTTTGTGTAATAAACATTTCCATTCTTCTGTTAAAAGTACATTGGCAGGCGCTAGTAAATTTGCAATGACTAACCTCCATGACAAACAGAAAATCAAAACTTATGATTTAGCAAGCCTAGTGTCACTGAGATCTGACTTGTCCTGCATTACCATGAACTACAATCTTAACAAATGTTTTTCTGAATAAGAAAGAAAAAAGCTTGAGCTGTTGTTACAATTACAGATTTCTTGTGTCCTTGTAATTCTATGTAATACTGTGAACAGTGCACAATATTAAACAAATGCTTTCTTGTTTTCCTCAGGTTACTATAGTGAAGGACTCAATGCCATCATTGTGTTTGCAGCATGTTTCCTGCCAGAGAGCAGTCGACCTGATTATAATTATATTATGGAAAATCTCTTTTTGTGAGTAGAATATCAATATTTGCCTTAAACTAGTCCCTAAGTTACTGAACCAATATAATCTATGTCCTGATACCTTGGACTGCTACTTAACTAATTGGCTGGATGCAGAGTTTTTTTGTACAGGCTAAGAAATAACTGCATGTGAGTTTGCCAAAAATTGATTTATTCTAAACCTTAAATTCCAGTGCTGTAAAAACTTGTACAGTACACCTCGTTATGACTCTTAGGGCATTTTTTTTTTGTTTTCCAGCAAATATTTTGGATGTGTGTTTATTGTTGCCATGTGGTTAAATGCACTGGGAGTTAATGCATGCATTATGATGTCCAATAAATAGAAAATCAGTTGAAGGGCTTGTTAATCTGATATTGTTGAAGGATGGACATTGGCCAGAACATCCAAGAAAAACTGTGTTTCTCTTTAAAAAGTACGATGGGATATTTAATACCCATCTGAAGCACTAGATTGAGGTTCGATATCATAGTCTATGTTTAAACCTATGAATAATGTCTGTGTTAAAATAACCTGTTTAAAAATGTCTCAGCGAACATCACATTTGAAGAGCAATAACTCTGAAAATCACCTTTCTTTCATTAATTCTCAAAAGTGCTCAAGGTTATGTGCTCATGGTGTGATGTGGTTTGATCCCATGACCTGCTGAGAAAGTTGACAACGTTCCAACTGACACTTCTAAGGCAGTTCCAAAATCCAGCGTTATAGCCAAACAAAAGCATGAAACCTGAAACATAAACACACAATACTGGAAACACTCAGCAGCTGAGGTAGCATCTGTTGAGAGACGAAAGCTATTTCAAGTAGATAATTTTGTCACAACGAGGCAGTATTACAGGTGAACAGGTAATAAGAAGGAATGGAGCAAAGGAAGGCTTGGATGTAGGGAGAGAAGAAAGACTGCAAATGCAAGAAAAGAACAATCAAAGTGGTTGGGTGAAGAATGTGGGATGATTAAATAACGTGATAAAATGTGAAAGATAATGAAACACAATGAGAAGAAACTAAAGAAGTGAAATCATGAACTCTTCTTGCAATTTGACTGTCGTATTTACTGTTTTTTTTATTGTGCCTCCTTTTGTCTTGCACGATTATCACTTCTGTTATTGCACCATTTGCTGTCCTCCAGCTAATCATTTAACAGTCATTGGGGACTGGTTAGTTCAGTTGGCTAGACAGGTGCTTTGTGATATAAAGTGGCACCAGTAGTGTGGGCTCAGTTTCTGCACCGCTGCAGTTACTATTGAAGGGCTCACCTTCTCAAACTCTTCCCTCACCTGAGACGTTGTGACCCTCAAAGTTAAACCACCACCAGTTATCTCTCTGTAATAGGAGAGCAGCTCTATGGTCTGGTAATTTCAGTTTTCTTGATGCCCGGGTAAATGAAAATTCCGTTGCTGACCAACTTAAAACTGTTCCCTTTCCTTTTGAAGTTTCCTTCTCCACTCATCATTTTCCTCCTTGTCCACCATAGTCTTTCCAGCCTCTTCCTCCCTCTCACCTTGCAGCCGTCTGCATCAGCTTCTTCCTGTTTTTGTCTGTGCAGCCTCCTAGTGAGATTGTGGAATTATAATAAATTAGTACTAATAAAGTAGATGTAGTGTTGTAGAAATTAGTGGAACTGAAAATTGACAAAATCACAGGTCTTCACCTGATGACCTTTGCCCGCTAACAGAGATAATGAATGCATTGGCTATTATCTTACAAAATATTATTGATTCTGCAAAGGTGCCTGTAGGTTGGAAGGTTGTAAATGTAACCTGACTGTTTCAGAAAGGAAGGAAAGAAAAATCATGGAACTGAAAACATGTTAGCCTAATGTCTGTAATAAGGAAATACATGAATTTACTATAAAGGATGTGATTGCTGCATATTTTTAAAAATAATTGTACAATTAGACCAGAGTCAAAATTGATTTATGAAGGGGAAGTCATGTTTGACAAAAGTGATAGTTTTCTTTTTCTAAGGAGGTTACCAGCAGATTCAATAAGGGGGAACTAGTGATGTGTTATATTTGGATTTTCAGAAAGGTTTTTGTTAAAATCCCACGCGTGATTCAGAAGCAGAATTAAAGTGCATATGTTTAGGAGTAATGGACTGGCTTTGAGTGAGAATTAATTAACAAGCAGAATGCAGAGAGTGTAGGAATGAATGGGTCCCTCTCAGGTTTGTAAACTGTGACAAGTGATACAGTACAAGGCCCAGTACTTGGGGCCCCAACTGTTCACAATGTATATTCATGAATTAGATGTTGGTGGCTAATTGTAATATTTCCAAGTTTGCAAATGATGAAATGTTTGGTAGGAATGTGTAGATGCAAAGAGGTTTCAAGGGATTTAGAACAGGCTGAGTGAGTCGTCAAGATTTTGACAAATGGAAATAATGTAGATAAGTGTGACGTTACCCTCTTCGATAGGACAAATGAAGGTGCAGATTGTTTTGTAAATAGTGAGAGATTGGAAACTGTTGTTGTCCAAAGGGACCTAGATGTCCTTGTTTATGAGTCACTGAAATCTAACATCATGGTGCAGCAAGCATGCAAAAGACAGTGTTAGTGTTTGTCAGTGCTAAATTCCATCTTCCACTGATCCACCAATCTGATCAACCTGTCCATATCTTCTTGTAACCTAAGATCTTCCTCCTCATTATTAACCACCCAGCCAATCTTCCTGTCATCTGCAGACTTACTTATCATAATCCCAGCACATTCTCATCTACATCATTTATGAATCTCACAAACAATAAAGGACCCAGCACTGATCCCTATGGTATGCCACTGGATGCTGGCTTCCAATCATGCAAACAACCTTCTATCACCACCATCTCTCCCCTGCCACTAAGCCAATTTTGGATCTAACTTGCCAAGTTACCATAGATCCCATGAACTTTTACTTCTTTATCAGTTTCTCATGTGGGACTTTGTCAGTGGCCTTGCTGAAACCCATATAAACTACATAAACTGCCCTATACTCATCTACGCACGTGGTCACCTCCTCTCAAAATTCAGTCACATTCATTAGGCGTGGCCTCCTGTAACAAAGCCATGCTGACTGCCCCTGATCTTGCCTTTCTAAATGGTTATTAATTTTCTCCTTCAGAGGTAATAGCTAATAATTCAATTAATCTGGTAATTCTGAAAATTGTGGTTGAATGCAATTTTTAAAATTCACCCAAGCAAAACCATTTTTCTTTGGTCACAGGTATGTGATCAGTACCTTAGAACTCTTGGTAGCTGAGGACTACATGATTATTTATCTCAATGGAGCGACTCCACGACGAAAGATGCCAGGTTTTAGCTGGATGAAAAGGTGCTATCAAATGATTGACAGGAGGCAAGTATTTGTCATTATTTACATTACAATCAACTTTTCAGTACAGAGTAAGACTTTTCACCAACATTCCTACCACCCAAACACAACCAACACAAATTTCAGGGTGTTTATACTTTTAGCAATTAGAGCACAAACTCAAGCCCTAAACAGCTTTTCTATTTTCAGTCTTATGCAGTCATATCCACCTGAAGACCAAGTGAAGAGAGCTGTAGTTAGCCATTTAACTCAACCAGAGATCAGTCTCTCTTGGGCTGTTATCAATACATATAGGATAGGCCATAGAATTGCACAATAGAAATTAGTTCATCAGTGTTATTATTTTGATAGCATTCAAAACCTCAGTTAATAGCGACCTTTAACGTTTTCAATTTCAGTCTTCAATGAACAATTAAAGGAAATTTGATTGGAATCATCCTCTTTCTTTTATCCGGAAAAGTCAAGGATAAAGAAACTCTCCCATCGAAAAGAGTTTCTTTCTCTGGTGTACTATTTCTTCATGGTATCTATGTTATCTGGAGTAAACCCAACATGTTTGCTTCTAGTACCTTACTCAAAGCTTCCAATAATTACATAAACAACCCAGCATTCAATGTTAGAATAGCACTAAAAAGTAATATATTGCATTGCTCATCAGATTGAACGTACTACATAGACTAGGATATACAGTATCATCAATCTCAGACTTGGTCAAAGGGATTATTTTCTTGATTTTTCTAAATTCGCATCCCATCTGTAAGTGCTTAAAACCAATGTAATAAACTTTCATGTCTCTCAGATTATGAATATGATTTAAAATAACAAAGTTATCTGAATGCTGGGAAGTAGGGAAAATGTTGTATGTTGTTATGAGGTGTTAGTATATTATTGAGAGAATTTTTCATCACAGGTTGAGGAAGAATCTGAAATCATTTATAATTGTGCATCCATCATGGTTTATCAGGACGATTCTTGCAGTCACTCGACCATTCATTAGGTAGGTCATTGTGGTTTTGCTACGTGATATTCAGAGAGATGGACAAATATTGAACAATAAAATATTCACATTTTATGGATATCTGTAACTAGCATAGATATTTATTTATTATCATTGCAGAAATACTTGAGGTGTCTCAGATTTTTTTTATTATTACAGATTAAATTGTACGATTAAATTAAATTTTACAACCCATGAACACATCTGTGCCACTGTGCTGTATAATCTACTAATTGGTGTAATTCCATGACTTCTGACATCTTATCTGTACCCAGTATCCTATATTTCTGCTGGACATGGTTCAGGTGTAAGATTTGCCTATGAAATGGACCACAGGACTTCTGCATTTAGTATCCCTCAACAGTAATCTTTTATTTTTATTCATTCATGGGATGAGAGCATCGCTGGCTAAGCCAGCATTTATCGTCAATCCCTAATTGCCCAGAGGGCAGTATAAGAGTCAACCACGATGCTGTGGGTCTGGATTCACATATAGGCCAGGCTGGGTAAGGATGGCAGCTTCCTTCCCTAAAGGACGTTAGTGAAATTCTAGGTAAATCATGACACTGCTGAAGAAACTATGTACTAAACATATTGCAGCAAAATTTGTCTATCATATCTCAGGTGGTGTTCAAACATCTGTTACCTATTGATGCCTGGTATCATCAGCAAGTTGTAGGAATTGGTAAACAAAATGTCCAAGCTCCATCAAATTTGCTTACTACCATTCTCATTGGTGATCACTAATATTAATCGGTCTCTATCAGTTAAACCACAACAGACCCAATAAGATATGAGAGAGATTCCAGTGCTGAAATGTCAGATTTTCTGAAAATACAAGGATTGATAAGAAATCAAGTTCTGAGGTGGATGAAAAAGATAAAATTTCATTCTGTCCTCCATGATGAGTTTGGTGGGAGCAGAAGTATCCATTGCCACCTTTCTGCCTCTCTTGGTTAAGGGCCTTTCAGACCTTCCTGCCCCACCATCAATGAAAGCCCTCAAGTAGGCAATTAATCCCCAGCACTACTGCCACTCACCTAGCCACAGGTGGCAGTCTCGTCCTGTAGAAAGCCTGAAAATCAAACCCTGGCTTGTTTGCTTACCTTCGTCCAGGGAGTGTTACTTGTTAAAACACAGTCATTCCTGACTGAGGGATCGGGCATTGAGGAAGCTGCTGAAATCCAACATGCCACCTCTCCCCTTCCCTTTCCTTCAACCCTTCCTGTCTCCCCAGTGGCTCCCTTGAGCAATACGCATTTAGCATCTTTCAGCTGGCAGGCCATGAGACCATGAAACATAGGAGTATAAGTAGGCCATTCAGCCCAGAATGTTTTGGCCGCTATTTAATGAGATCATGGTTGAAGTAATAACCCTCAACTCCATTTTCAGACTTCAACCCCACCTACCCCCACCCATCCTGGCCTTGATCCCAGGGAAGACCTGCAGATGACCCAGTTAAATGCCTGACTGGCATGTAATCCAGTCAGCCTTGTTAAAAGTTGGTGACACCGAGCTCCCACCAGCACTGCAACTGGTATGCATGATCCCCCAGGCTCCATTAAATACCACCCAGAGAGGCTTTGAAGAGAGGTATATTTAGATAGATAAATAGATTAAATGAGCGAACAAGAGTTTGGCTGTTGGAGAATAATGTCGAAAAATGTGAGTCTACCCAGTTTGCTGGGAAGAACGGAGGGAATTTTGTTAAATGGACAGAGACAACAATGTATTGGTAAAGAGGGAACTGTACTTGAATCACCACAAAATTACCATGCAGGTACAGAAAATAATTAGGAAGGCAAGCAAAGTGTAAGCCTTTGTTGCAAAGAGGATGTTTTTCTGTGACTGTATATGTTGCATTGCGACTGTACCTAAAGTGCACTGTATGGTTTGGACCCCTTTACTTGAGGATGGATATACTGGCATTGCAGGTAGTTTAGAGAAGGTTCACTAGGGAGAGGTCCAATGAGTAATGGAGCGATACAGTGGCTCAGTGGTTAACACTGCTGCCTCACAGGCCCAGGGATCCAGGTTCGATTCCACCCTTAGGCGACTGTCTGTGTGGAGTCCCTCTATGTCTGTACGGGTTCTTCTGGGTGCTCCGGTTTACTTCCATAATCCAAAGATGCACAGACTAGGTGGATTGGCCATGGGAAAAGCAGGGATACAGGGATAGGGTAAGGGGTGTGGGTCTGGATGTGATGCTCTTCAAGGGGCTGGTGTGGAGCTGATGGGCCAAAGGGCATGTTTCCACACTGGAGGGACTCTGTGGTTGTATCTGTAGCAGGTTGACCCTATATTCATTAAAATTTAGAAAACCGATAGTTGTTCTTATCGGGATATAGCAAGAACTGCAGATGCTGGAGTCAAAGTCAATACAGTGTGGAGCTGGAGGAGCACAGCAGGCCAGGCAGTATCAGAGGAGCAGGAAAGTTGATGTTTTGGGTCGGGACCCTTCTTCAGAAATGGGGAGGAGGGAGGGAAAGGAGCTGGGAAATAAATAGAGAGAGGAGGGGTGGGGCTGGAGAAGGTAGGTGGGATGGTGATAGGTGAATGCAGGTAGGGAGTGGTGGGGATTGGTCAGTGGGATGGGTGGGGCGGACAGTTGGGATAGAAAATGGACAGGTTGTGTCAGGTCAAGAAGGTGGGGATGAGAGGGAGGTTTGGACATGGGATGAGGCCGGGGGTGGGGAAATTTTGAAACTGGTGATTTCTAAGTTTAGGCCATCGGGCTGTAGGCTTCTGGAGCAGAATATGAGGTGCTGCTCCTCCAGTTTGCGTGTGGTGTCATTGTGGCACTGGAGGAGGCCCAGGATGGACATGTCACCCAGGGAGTAGGAGGGGGAGTTAAAATGGTTGGCGGCCGAAAATTATTGTTGTTTGTCGCGTACAGAGCGCAGATGCTCTGCAGAATGGTCACCAAGTCTACGCATGTCCTCATTGATGTAGAGGAGGCCACATAGGGAGCAGCGGATACAGTAGACCAGGTTGGAGGATATACAAGTGAACTCCTATCGGATATGGAAAGTTTGTCTCGGGTCTCGGATGGAGGTGAGAGGGAAGGTGTAGGAGCAGGTGTAGCACCTCCTGCGGTTGCAGGGAAAGGTGCCGGGTAGGGTTAGTGGGGAGTGTGGAGCAGACGAGGGAGTTGCGGAGTGAGCGGTCCCAAGAAAAGGAGATGGGGTAGGATGGGAAATATATCTTTGGTTGTAGGGTCAGATTGTTGCGGTCCTTGAAATAAGAGGACATCTGGAATGTCAGGGAGTGGAGCGCTCCATGTTGGGAACAGATGTAGAAGAGGCAGAGGAACTGGGAGTAAGGGATCACATCCTTGCAGGAGGATGGGTGAGAGGAGGTGTAGTCAAGGTAATCATGGGAGTCAGTGGGTTTGAAATAGATGTTGGTGTTGAGGTGGTTACTAGAAATGGAGACAGAGAGGTCCAGGAAGGGGAGGGAGTTATCGGAGTGAATTTGAGGTTGGGGTGAAAGCTGTCGGTAAAGTTAATGAATTGTTCGAGTACCTCCCGCAATGATGCGATCCCTTACTCCCAACTCCACCGCATCTGTTCCCAAAATGGAGCCCTCCACTCCCGGACGTCTCAGATGTACTCCTACTTCAAGGACCGCAACATCCCCCGGCCCCTCTGGTGATCAAAAATGCGCTCAACTGCATTTCCTGCACTTCTGCCCTCACACGCCTAACAAAAATAAAGACAGAGTCCCCTTGGTCCTCACATATCACCCCACCAACCTCCACACTCGGCGTATCATTCTCCGCCACTTCCTCCACCTACAATCCAACCCCACAACCAGATATTTCCCTCCCCACCTCTACCTGCCTTTCGTAGGGACTGCTCTCTCTGTGACTCCCTTGTCCGCTCCCCATTCCCCACTAACCCCACCACCCCTGGCACTTTTCCCTGCAACCGCAGGAGGTGCTGCATCTGCCCCTGCACCTGCCCCTACACCCCCCCCCTACACCTCCCCCCTCACCTCCATCCAAAGCCCTAGACAAACTTTCCAAATCCCACAAGGATTCACCTGTACATCCTCCAACCTGGTCTACTGTATCCATTACTCCCGATGTGGCCTCCTCTACAAGCGGAGGCTCAGAGACCGTTTGGTAGAGCACCTGCGCTCTGTTCACGACGAACGCCAACACCTTCCAGTCGCCAACCATTTCAACTCCCCCTCCCATTCCCTGGGTGACGTGTCCATCCTGGGCCTCCTCCAGTGCCACAATGACACCACACGCAAACTGGAGGAACAACACCTTGTATTTCGCCTTGGGACCCTGCAGCCCGATGGCCTAAACGTGGATTTTACCAGTTTCAAAATCTCTCCACCCCGACCTTATCCCATGTCCAACCCTCCCTCTCATCCCTGCCTTCCTGACCTGACACAACCTGTCCATCTTCTTCCCCACCCATCTGCCCCACCCTTCTCACTAAGCAATCCCCACTACCCCCCTACCTGCATCCACCTATCACCATCCCACCTACCTTACCCAGCCCCACCCCTCCTCCCTCTATTTATTTCCCAGCTCCCTTCCCCCTCCCCAGCCCTGATGAAGGGCCTAAGTCTGAAACATTGACTCTCCTGCTCCTGTGATGCTGCCTGACCTGCTGTGCTCCTCCAGCTCCACAGATGCTCTCATTGAAACAAATAGAATTCTGAGGTGAATTCACAGGGAGGATGCTGAGAGGATGTTTCCCCTCTTGGGGAAATCTAGGATGACCGAGGCCTGCTAATCTTTGAAATTCTCTACCCCAAACAGCAATGAAAGCTGCTCCTTGAGTATTTTCAAGGCCAAGTTAGACAGATTTCGATCTTCAAGGAAGTCAAGGATGATGTGAGGCAGGTTGAAAAGTGGAATTAGGGTCGGAATTAGATCGGCCATTAGAGAGTAGGCTTGAGGGCCTTTTCTGCTTTTATTTCTTTATGTTCTTAGGCTCTCATGTTCTCAACATGTACTGATCTTGATCCGATGGGCTGGTGGGCTGAGGAGTGGCAGATGGAGTTTAATTTTGATAAATGGGAGATTGCATTTTGGTAAGGCAAATTATGGCAGGACTTATACACTTAATGGTAGAGTCCTGGAGAATATTGCTGAAGAAAGAGACCTTGGGGTGCAGGTTCATAGTTCCTTGGAGGTGGAATTGTCGGTAGACAGGATAGTGAAGAAGGCGGTTGGTACACTTGCCTTTATTGGTCAGTGCATTGAGTACATATTGCAGCTGTAAAGGACATTGGTTAGGCTACTTTTGGAATATTGTGTTTAATTCTGGTCTCCCTGCTGTAGGAAAGATGTTGATAAACTTGAGAGGATGCAGAAGAGATTTACAAGGATGTTGCCGGGATTGGAGGGTTTGAGCCAAAGACGAGGGCTGAATAATAGGCTGGGGCTATTTTCCTTGGAGCGTTGGAGGTTGAGGGGTGACCTTTATAGAAGTTTATAAAATCATGAGGGGCAGAGATAGAGTGAATAACCAAGGTCTTTTTCCCAGAGTCCAACACTAGAGGGCTTAGGTTTAAGGTGAGAGGGGAACGATACAAAAGGGACCTAAGGGGCAACTTTTTCATACAGGGGGTGGTGTATATGTATGGAATGAGCTGCCGGAGGAAATGGTGGAAGCTGGTATAATTACAATATTTAAAAGGATGAGTACATGAATAGGAAGAGTTTAGAGGAAAATGGGCCGAATGCAGGCAAATGGGACTAGATTAATTTAGGATATTCTGGACGGCATGGACGAGTTGGACCAAAGGGTCTGTATCCATGCTGCACATCTCCATGAGTCATGCCCTAAATATATGTAACCTTGGAGGATTTTAGTGTACAGATTTTTACATTAATTTTAAATCAGGAGAGCAACAGTGAAAAATGGGAGATTTCCTCAAGTGGTCATTGACTACTTTTGAGAATGATATGGAACAAATGTTCACGTTGGAAACAGGTAAAAGCTCAATTCCTGGTAAAAGTAGACTTACTTTGTAAAATCAGAGATAGTAGGAACTGCCGATGCTGGAGTCTGAGATACCAAGGTGTGGAGCTGGATGAACACAGCAGGCCAGGCAGCATCAGAGGAGCAGGAAAGCTGACGTTTCGGGTCTGGACCCTTCAGAAAAAAAAATCTTTTTACTTTCTAAAATGTTTGGGAAGCGACGCTCTGTCATGTTTATCTTTGTGCTTTGAACGATATAACAACTGTTTTGATTTGTTTTCTTCAGTTCGAAGTTCAGCAGTAAGGTGAGATATGTCAGTAGCCTGGCTGAGCTGGAGGAACTCATCCCCATGCAGCATGTTCAGATTCCGGAGACTATCAGAAAGTGAGTAATGTATTGTACGTGTAGTTGGTTGATCCATGTGCTTAATATAATTAGCAAAGCCATAAAGTGGCATTTTGCCTTGCTTGTCACAAACTTTGGTAATTATATCCTTTAAAATGTCCTGTAGATGATTTAGTTTGTAATGCTTTACAGTGTCTATCATATACTCTTCAAAATAAATTTGAAAGTGAATTTGAATAGATTAGAATACATTGCCATATATGTTCTGGTAACTAGTGAACATCTATATATTTATTCATTGTGAAAATTATGCTATTCTATATGGAACCATAATCATTAGATTTACAGGAATCCAGTCTGCAGCGTTAGATTTGTTCATTTCTCTGCGTTACTTATTTTCCTCTACAGTTAATTACTCAAACGCTTCTTAGCTAATTCTGTTTCCTGTTCAGAGTACTATATTCTAAACCTAAGTTTCTTGCTTTGCTGTAGTTTCTGTTTGCTTGCTCGTGGGGTTAAAAGATATATTCATGCAACCCAGCGCTTTCTTAAAGCCCAATTCTATGAGGTTGTTATTTTAAACGATGACGTGAATTAGAATCAGTGTGAAAGCCGAGTACATTGTGAAATTCTGTATCTACCAATCTTAATCAGGAAAATAAGATTATGACAACGTAAGTAAATGCACATTTTGTGTATGGACTTTAGGATTGATTAAATGTCAAGGACATATTAATTAATGAAGCAGTGATTTTTTTTTTTTATGGGTATCACTTATTGCTAAATCATTTGATATACCTTTTACACAGAGGAAATCTTCCTCTTCCCAATAGATAATAACATTGCAAATCAGAGGACTTGTATCATTGTTTGGTTTTATTCCAATGCTAAACCTGTACTTTTAAAAATAGCACTAAAGAAACAATTTTCCAGCAGTTTATCACTGTGATCTGTTCATACACAGATTTACAGCATATAATGTTAACTAAAAGCATTTCCTACAGGTCACACATGGCATTTCACAATCTCATTCCACCTCTGTGCAAAGAGCTGGAGCAGAGATAAGAAGTATCTCCGAGAAAAGGAAAAATGGAAATGCTTCCATTTTCTTTTCATTTATTTATGAACACCAAAGTAGGAAAACAACTACTGCTTTCCCTGTCAGTCAAATGTTGCAGTTGCAGCAAATAAAATGGAGCTAAAAGTATTTTAAATTTAAAGATTATTAACATTTCTAAGTCAACAGTGAACTGTTATTATAGTATGTACACTTATTGACAGATGTCTATCACTCCCTTCCCCCTTCAGAAGTGATGTTTATTACTTGTGTTTTAATTTTATCGGTAAGATAAACAGGTGAAGGGCATTGTTTAGTGAAGTAGGGCACTTATAAAGGGCTGTTGTGAAACTGTGGTAGTGTCACTATGTCTGGATCAGGAGACTCAAGTTCAAGTCCCAATTGTTCTATAAGTGTGTAATTGCATCTCTGAACCAGTTGATTAAAAAATATCTTACACCATTTATAAGGAGAGACTGATGAGACACTGGGCTGGTAGGTAAAAAATCAGCCCTGTAGTTCTGCATCCTGTGAATAAACTAATATTAAAAATAGTATTAGTATCTAGTTTAATAACTCACTTAGGATCAGATTAATAATGATGTCATCATAGCTTGACACCATAAATGTAAAAAGCTAATATAAATGTATAAGTGGTTTCAAATTATTCTATCTAGTATTTTATTGCCCTTAGTTAAAATAGCCAAAAGAAGGATCTGCTATCACTGCATTAAAATTACATCATAAGCTTTATGATCACTTGCCATAATTTGTACCTTTTAACTTCAAATCATTCATGCATCCCTAGCAGATCCTGAAAATGTTTCTTTTCATATATTCATGGGCATTGAAGGGAACAAGGCTGGCATTTATTAATAATGGAAAAAGATGCAATGAAATCACTTCTTGAACTGCTGCAGCCCATGTGGTGAATACAGTTCTAAAGGACTGTTAATGAGGCAGTTCCAGGATTTTAATTCAGCAGCAATGAAGGAGCTGTAAATATTTCCTAGTCAAGATTGTGTAGCCTGGAGACCCTGGTGCCCCTCTCCTCCTAGTCGATAGTTTTGGTTTTGGGAGCTGCTTTTGAATTTGTCTTCGTAAGTTGCTACAGAGCATTTTGTAGATGGTACAAAGTGCATGATATACCATGCTGAAGGGACTGAATGATTAAAGTGGGCAGTACAATGCCAATCAATAGCTGCTTTGGCCTGGTTGATGTTGAGTTCCTTCAGTTACACAAGCAAGTGGAGAGCACACCATCACATGTGAAATTATTCTTTGTGGGCAGAGATTTGGGATTCAGACAGTGAGTTAGTCAGTGGAGAATTCAGAGACTGTGACGTGCTCTTGCAGTCTTCTGGTGCCTCCCTGGAGTTTGGAAGTGGATTCTAAGATGATAATCTGTTGAATGTCAAGGGAAGGTGGTTCCACTTTCTTTTGATGAAATAGCCATTGCAAATGTCATTATTGTAGCTACATTAGAAGAGATGTGGCTACTTCTGGCTTTTGTTTGGCTAGTCTATAGGACAACATTTCTTTGTACCAAGGTGCCACATGTTAGTGAAAGGGGCCTTTTTTTTCCTTCCGAGCAAGAAGCTGACTTTGAGACTGTTTCCATGCTCTGACTCTGCCCCAGGAGGGAAGGTTGTCGCATGTAATTTTGGTGAAGGTGGAGTGCTAATCGGCTAGAGGTCATAGAACATAGAACATTACAGCGCAGTACAGGCCCTTTAGCCCTCGATGTTGCGCTGACCTGTGAAACCAATCTGAAGCTCATCGAACCTAAACTATTCCATTATCATCCATGTGTTCATCCAATGACCATTTAAATGCCCTTAAAGTTGGCGAGTCTACTACTGTTGCAGGCAGGGCATTCCACGCCCTTACTACTCTCTCTGACCTCTTACCTACCTCTGACATCTGTCCTACATCTATCACCCCTCAATTTAAAGCTATGTCCCCTCATGCTAGCCATCACCATCCGAGGAAAAAGGCTCTCACTGTCCACCCTATCTAATCCTCTGAACTTCTTGTATGTCTCTACTAAGTCACCTCTTAACCTTCTTCTCTCTAACGAAAACAGCCTCAAATCCCTCAGCCTTTCCTCATAAGACCTTCCCTCCATACCAGGCAACATTCTGGTAAATCTCCTCTGCACCCTTTCCAATGCTTCCACATCCTTCCTATAATGCGGCGACCAGAACTGTACGCAATACTTCAACTGCTCTATCCATGTCTCCGAAATGGCCACAACATCGAAGTCCCAGGTACCGACCCATGCTGCAAGTTCACCCACCTTATTCCGGATGCTCCTGTCGTTGAAGTAGACACACTTCAAACCACCTTCCTGCCTGCCGGTACGCTCTTGCGACCTTGAAATCTTATTCATGACCTCACTACTCTCAACCTCCTGTACACTGGAGCTACAATTCAGGTTCCCATCCCCCTGCTGAATTAGTTTAAACCCTCCCGAAGAGCATTAGCAAATTTCCCCCCCAGGATATTGGTACCCCTCTGGTTCAGGTGTAGACCATCCCGTTTGTACAGGTCCCACCTACCCCAGAATGAGCCCCAATTATCCAGGTATCTGAATCCCTCCCTCCTGCACCATCCCTGTAGCCACGTGTTCAACTGCTGTCTCTCCCTATTGCTCGCCTCGCTAGCACGTGGCACGGGTAACAAACCCGAGATAACAACTTTGTTTGTTCTAGCTCTAAGCTTCCACCCTAGCTCCTTGAATTTCTGCCTTACATCCCCATCCTTTTTCCTACCTATGTCGTTGGTGCCTATGTGGACCACGACTTGGGGCTGCTCCCCCTCCCCCTTAAGGATCCCGAAAACACGATCCGAGACATCACGGACCCTGGAACCTGGGAGGCAACACACCAACCGCGAGTCTCTCTCGTTCCCACAGAATCTCCTATCTGTCTCCCTAACTATGGAGTCCCCAATGACTAATGCTCTCCTCCTCTACCCCCTTCCCTTCTGAGCAACAGGGACAGACTCTGTGCCAGAGACCTGTACCCCGTGGCTTACCCCTGGTAAGTTGTCCCCCCCAACAGTATCCAAAACAGTATACTTGTTATTGAGGGGAACGGCCACGGGGATCCCTGCACTGTCTGCCTGTTTCCTTTCCGTCCCCTGACTGTCAGGTTGAGTGGCCAATTAGCAGCTGCATGGGTGGGAACTGAATAAATGCAGGCCATATTTAAACAACCAGAGCTTCTGAAAGAGGCAGAAGGTGGGCATTTCAGGGCTGCCTCTTGTTTCTGTCTCTTTGATGTCAAGGTCCTCAGTTGAGGAGTCTGAGGGTGCACAGAGCTTTGTAGTGGATCAGTCCAATTGAGTGGCTTGCTAATCTGTTTTCAGAGGGAATGATTAGTCAACCATATTGGTTGTATGAGCTTGGAGTCATACTTTTGTAAGGATAACAGATTTCATTTCCTAAAAGATATTTGTGCACCAAATAGGACCTTTTTATGACAATTTGGCCATTCCACGGTCAGTCTTAATGAACCTAACTTTTTTATTCCGGATATATTCATTTAACTGAATATAAATTCTTAGTAGATGGGGTGTAATTTGAGCTGATGTCTCCAGGACAATAAGGTCTCTGGATTATTTCTCCAGTAATATCACTGCTTTGTTATCAATTTCTTATGGTGTTTATCCCTCTTGCAGTCTGACCACAGGGATGTTATTCTGTGTATTTTCTGTTTTCAGTATGTAAATTACTGTTTCTGTTAAACAACAGCTTTATTTTAAAACATTAACAGTTTTGGAAACTGACCAGAATATTTACTCCAAACCATAAAATTACAGCTTCTTCCTTATACTTGCTGGGTGCTAGTGCTTGACACACATCCGTTTGTGTGATTCACATTGTTATCTGCTGCTTGTTTGTATGAGTGGTGTCTGGATGCCAGAATACTAAAGGCTTTATGATGGTTTAATTGGATGTGAACATAATCCTGAAACT